GGGTAAGAGTGGGTATATGGTTGTGTTAGGCTAGTTTTCCAAGATCATTAGTCGTGGAGGCGGGGTCCGGTTGCCTTGACAATCACTATTTGAGACGAAGCTCAAAGACTGGCGACGAGTTCCAACCGGATATTTTACTGATATTCCGGGAAAATGGATTTTAACTTAAAGGTTTCAATACTTTCGGCACTTGACCTTAAAAATCAGTTTATCTTCCTACTGCAATCTTTCTGTTGTGTTTGAGCAGGTACTCATTGAATTTACGTACCTACGTATGTCTGTCTGTCTGTATGTATGTACAAAAATAATTGATCATAGATAGATAGATAGATAGATAGATAGATAGATAGATAGATATGAACAGACTGAGAAAGAAAGAATGAAAGAAAGAAGGAACTGAACAAACTAAGATAGATATATACTGAGATAGATAGATAGATAGATAATGAACAGACTGAAATAGAAAGTAAGAAATAAATAAAAAAAAAACTGAAAAGACTAAGAATAATAGATAGATAGATAGATAGATAGATAGATAGATAATGAACAGACTGAGATAGAAAGTAAGAAAGAAAGAAAGAAAGAAAGAACTGAAAAGACTAAGAATAATAGATAGATAGATAGATAGATAATGAACAGACTGAGATAGAAAGTAAGAAAGAAAGAAAGAAAGAAAGAACTGAAAAGACTAAGAATAATAGATAGATAGATAGATAGATAGATAGATAGATAGATAGATAATGAACAGACTTAAACAGAAAGAAAGAAAGAAAGAAAGAAAGAAAGAAAGAACTGAAAAGACTAAGAAAAATAGGTAGATAGATAATGAACAAACTGAAATAAAAAGAAAGAAAGAACTGAAAAGATTAAGAATAATTGATAATTAGATAAATAGATAGATAGATAGATGATGAACAGACTGAAATAGAAAGAAAGAAAGAACTGAACAGACTAAGAATAATAGATAGATAGATAGATAGATAGGTACGAACAGTCTGAAAATAAAGAAAGTGCAGACTGACAATAACAGTGTTATTCCACTTTCTATATTGATCAGCCTAATTAATGACCACCAATCAAATAACTCAAAACAAAAAAGTCTATATCAAAGCATAACATAGCATGGTTAATTACACCTTTGTCATTTACCATTGGCCACTTAACAAACATTATTCATTTCATAACAATGAATATTTATAATAGCTCATATATATATATATATATATATATATATATATATATATATATATATATATATATATATATATATATATATATATATATTACGCTAAGTTTCACATGAACGGGTTCCCAATATCAAAGTTCCTGACATAAAGTGTCTTTACTTAATATTTGCAGCTGCATAGTCATCTGGAATAAATCTATATGCCGTATAGGAAGGCTAGATAGTTGCAAGATTATTGAAAACGGAAAAGTGATATTATTGAAAAGGTTTGATTATTTTAAACCTTAGTATTTTATCGAAAGTCTTAGTAATTTCATGCAAATTTATATGTGTTTCTTTTCTAGTTTTTATGTTGACATGAAATACTACGTAACTATAAATTCGGAAGAAAAATTTCATCTAATATTTCTGTATTTGTATTATAATTTTATTTATCCAGATCTGCGCCATTTCCTTCCACTTCTTTTCTCCATTCCTCCTGGGTATGATGATAAACTAAACCCGGCAGTAAGGTCTCTGTTCGGAAGGTTTTGAGGAGCGTGGAACCACCTCTTTACTCCTGTTGTTCCCAGGTTCACCCTGATCCGCAGTGGTTAGGATCCCAGCTATGGGCAAATAATGAACACTCAAGCAAAAGGATATCTTGATGAACGAACACATCACATCCAGGTTCAATATCTGGTTGGATTGTTTGGGAGCATCTTTGATTATTTCCAGGGAGTGCGCAGAGTTTCGGACATATGATGGTGAATTTCCTGTTAATGGTTTAATTATATCCAGAAGGAAGCGACTCAGAGTAAAAAAAATGTTATAAAGTTTAATGTGCCGAGTTTTAAGTATAGCTAAAATAACTAATGTGATTTCAGGCATTTACTGTAAATCAGTTGGCAAATGTTTTCCGTGAACTGCAAAATCGTATTACCCTTTGTATTGCTAATGATGGTGGACATGTGGAAACTTCAATAAAACCTTAAAAATATAGATTTATTTCTTTCTAATCCTTTTTACAGATTATTTCTGTCGCTAAAGTTAAAAATTATTTAAAATCCGCTCAAACTTTATGGACACCATATATATATATATATATATATATATATATATATATATATATATATATATTATTTATTCGAAAATTATAACATAGATATGTTATAAAATCACTACACAAATAGCCATTTTGTTTCAACACTTCTGGTGTCTTATCAAGTGATAGTGTTGAATGTAGATACTTGGTGTTATATATATATATATATATATATATATATATATATATATATATATATATATACTATTTACATTGTTCGGACTGTTATCGTCATCTTTGTTGTTATATTCACGACGTTTCGACCTTCTTCAGGTGATTGGAATTTCGAAGCGAAACCTTTATTTCGCCCACTGGGGTAGATTGTCATGTCTCTTCCGAATATCACTGTTTCAGTTTTAGTTATCTCCCTTTAGTAACTTTCAAGCAACAATATTAAAAGCAGGGACAAGTGAAGTTAATTTTTTAAAGTGCACACGAATTTTTATGGACATCCTGTATATATATATATATATATATATATATATATATATATATATATATATATATCGTGGCTGTCCTCTCGGTTTTGAGCGTGACCACTTCCTTTATTTCATGTCCTCACCCCCCTCCCACTCCCCTCAAATTCCATGTATTCGCAGGTGACTCTTCAGGCCAGCCAAACTGCGACAAATTTTGCCACAGAATTGGCATACCCGATCAGTTTTGTTTACAGTGACATTATTCGGGTGCACACTAGGTTTTGCACATTTACGCAAATGGCTTTTGAAGCCGGCAAAAGATAGGCACAATTTTCCGCATATGTCACAATTAACGTTGTGAATTTGTGGACCCGGTGCTGGACCCTGTTCGCCTTTACGAATCAGACGTTTGTAGGCAATGTACTGCATGCGGCTATTCTCAAAGGACTCAATGCTTTCGTGAATTAGTTTCCGCCACTTACTTCTATCCAAAGCCATTTTTTCCCATTGGTCTACAGATAGTCCAGATTGTTTCAGATAAGATTTTATTGTGTCCTTAAATCTCTTCTTCGGCTTTGATGCATTTCTCTTTCCTTCCCACATTTCACCATAGAACAGCCATTTTGGCAGACGACTGTCATCCATACGTGCAATGTGACCGACCCATCGGAGACAATTTTTCATTACCATCGACTGAATGCTTGGTAGCCCTGCTTTCTCTAATACTTCTGTATCTGAGACCTGGGACTGCCATGTGATGTGAAGTATCTGTCTCAAACACCGTTGATGGAAGACCTCAAGAAGTTTTAGTTGATGTTTATAGAGTGCCCATGTATATATATATATATATATATATATATATATATTTGTATATTTAGGCAGCAATCCTTCCTTTATGCATGTTTCATTAAAAACAACAGACAAGTTACTATGGTTAAGCATTTTATTTAATTTTCCTTGTGTTCGTACAAGAGCTTTCTTTTCTGGACAAAGGGTGTGTAAGAACTGTCCGAATATTTTATATTTCCGAGCGCTTAAAAAAAAAATAAAAAGCTTAACCATAGTACCTTGTCTGTAGTTTTTAATGAAACATGCATATATATATATATATATATATATATATATATATATATATATATATATATATAATACTTAAAAATCTGATTCCAACACGCTACATATTTTTCCCACACACACACACACACACACACATATATATATATATATATATATATATATATATATATATATATATATATATATATATATATATATATAAGTATATAAGAAGTCGTAAACGGAAACGAAATCGAAGATTCTCTACTTTCTTGCAGCTTTCAATCTTCCCATTAACGATTCACCTCCATTTCCTGTGCAGTCTTTTATATAAGAAACTAGTCGAAGAGACATAATGCTGACATCTCCATTATATGCGGTATTGTGGTATATATGTTGGAGCGAATGACGATGGATGAGTTCTTGTGGTGATAGAGTAAATCATAATGAATGAATGGGTTGCGAATCAGATTAGCTAGTTTTAGAATAGTTAGTGTTGACCAGTCTCACCTCCTTCGGCCTTATGATAAACTTGTAATTATATTACAATAAATAATCATTGTATTTATTTTCAATTTTTCTCGTTGAATTCTTCACCTATATTTCATATGATCCATTATTGTACATAATTAGGTTCAAGTAAAATTCGTATTTTATATTCATACTACATTATGAAAATTGAGATGTAGTAAAGTAGAGGACCCTGTATCAGAGATTCGATGGTAGGTATCATAGATTCGGAGTGGGGTGGAGTAGATGAGACCCTTGCATCGGTCCTGCTTATTGCTATAAGCAATGTATTTATTGAGTACACGTGTTTCAGCAGACATCTCTCTTTATATTTCTAAATAGGCAAATTAATATTTAAGAGCGTTGGGATCGAAAATCTTATGAAAGAAAATATGCCTTTTGACAGGCGTGATTTACCATTAGGCTAAGGGAAGCATAATGTTTTTTTGTTGTTGTTGTTGTTTTTTTATACCAGCAATATTATTATTACTATAAAAAATATAACGTTTTATAGCTAGACAAAATATAGGTAGTTATAAATTTAAAAAAAAAAAAAATGCTTAAAATAATATTTTCAAATTCTTATAAATTTGAAAATCGCGTTAAACAAATTAAAAAAAATATCGATTTATTTTGAAAAATTACTTTATAGATTCTAATGCAGGTTTATTCTGGTTAATAAATGTATTATTATGGATAGTGCAAAATGAATAGACTGACTGTATTGATCGTGGGGTTTTCAGTTATGCGAAGGGATGATGTTTCGGATAAAGCAAAACTACGTTAGTATTTGCTCGACAGTGTATACTTGTAAACATTTAACTTCATACCAACCTCTGTTTTCACACACCTGCCTGCATATAATTTCTCATTCATGAATTTACCCCCGCTTCTTCTGACGTCCTCGCCCTGTCCTTAATAAAGAGAAAAAAAAAGAGTAATAATAATGATGATGATGATGATGAAATCCTTAAGTACCCGTTTTATGGGCCGTCAAAAACAACAGTGTCAAAACTTGTCTTTTATTCAGTAATTTCAGATTTCCGGTTTGCCATGAAAACTACTTTTCCCCTTCTTTGTCCAGTGTTTTTCTCTTTCTTTTACTCTTCTCTTTATTTATTGCTTCCTTTCTTTTTTCTTTTTCTTTCTTTCTTTTTTCTTTCTTTCTCCCTTCTTTCTTTCCTTCATTTTTCTTTCTTTCTAAGTTTCTTTCTTTTTCTTCTTTCCTTCCTTTTGCCTTTCTTCCTTCTTTCTTTCTTTTTCTTTCTTTAATCATTCCCTCTCTTTTTCTTTCTTTCTTTCTTTCTTTCTTTCTTTCTTTCTTTCTTTCTTCCTTCTCCTTTTCTTTCTTTCTTTCTTTTTTCTTTCTTTCTCACTTCTTTCTTTCCTCCATTTTTCTTTCTTTCTTTCTTACTTTCATTCTTTTTCTTCTTTTCTTCCTTTTGCCTTCTTTCTTTCTTTCTTTCTTTCTTTCTTTCTTTCTTACTTTCTTTCTTTCTTTCTCCTTTTCTTTCTTTTTTCTTTCTTTCTTTCTTTCTTTCTTTCTTTCTTTTTTCCTTCCTTCCCTCTACTTTTCTTTCTTTCTTTCTTTCTTTTCCTTCTTTCTCTTTCTTTCTTTCTTTCTTTCTTTTTTCTTCCTTTTTTTCTCACTTTCTACCTTTTTTCTTTCATTTTCTTCGTTCTTCTAACCCTATTCCGTCCTTTTCTTTCTTTCTTTCTTTTTTTCCTTCCTTCCTCCATTCTTTTTTCCCATCTTTTTCTTTCTTTTTTTTCTTCCTACCTTCCTCTCCCCCTTCCAACCTTTTTTTCCATTTCTTTCTTTTTTCTTTTCCTTCTTTCGTTCTTTCTTCCGTCTCTTCCTTTACTTTTCTTTCTTTTTCTTTCTTTCTTTTTCTTTGTTCCTTCCATTTTCTTTCAGTCTTTTTTTCTTTCAGTCTCTACATATTTTAATTTTCCTTTTCTTTCTTTTTTCTTTTCCTTCTTTCGTTATTTCTTTCTTTTTCTTTCTTCCGTCTTTTCTTTTACTTTTCTTCCTTTCTTTTTCTTCGTTCCTTCCATTTTCTTTCATTCTTTTTTTTTCTTTCACTCTCTGCATATTTTAATTTTCTTCCTCCTCTTCTCCCTCTCATATTTTCCCCTTTATTTTCTGTTGATCATTTTTCTTTTCTCTTTGTTTTTTTTCTTCTTCTTTTTGTTTCCCCCATCCTTTTTTTCTTAGTAAATATTCAAAGAAAAGAATGCCGAACTGCTATGTAATATCTAATTTCCTGCCTGGCTGGACAATTTCCTCACAGATAAAGAAGAAACTTAAAGCGACAGATATGGTGTTCTACCGAAGAACGCCGAGAATCCCATGGGCTGTACATATGAGCAACGAGAAAAAAAAATGGCTACAAGGAAATTGATATTTATAATCAGAAGGAAACAGTTAAAGTTTCTGGGACATATAATGAGGAAAGAAGGCTTGGAGAACTACTTTTATTGTGTAGTAACAGACGACGGAATGTATGACACAGAAAACCATCAGCGTGATACACGTTTAAGCGATCATGTATCTTTCGATACATGACTGACGAGGCAGATTTTTCCCACAGTAGTTTGCTATTTCTTTCTGCGGTAGACCAGTTGCCATCCAGGGCTATAGAACCCGGTCTGTCCTGCTATTTACGCATAACTGGAGGGAGAAGAAGAGGATTCATACCTTTCCCAAGGGTATTAGCACGTAAGTGAATTTCAGTCAGTTATGTGCCATGCGTGAACCACGCTTAGGCGATCATGTATTTTTCGGTACATGAGTGACGAGGCAGATTTTTCCCCGCAGTAGGTTGCCATTTCTTTCTGCGGTAGACCAGTTTCCATCCGAGGCTATAGAACCCGGTCTGTCCTGCTATTTATCCATAGCTGGAGGGAGCAAAAGAGGATTCATACCTTTCACAAGGGTATTAGTACGTAAGTGAATGCAATGGATGCGACTGGAATTCGAACTCAGCCCTCCGATTACTCTATCCGTTACTCCAACGTAGGAAAGAGAAAATGCTTTCCAGGAATTAAGCAAAGTATTATGAGATGGGGAAAATTCATGTGAAAGAAAAGAGTGCTGAATTAATGTACACTATCAAATCTCCAATATGGCAGTGAATACTGAACAATCTCCTCACAGATGAAGAAGAGACTTAAAGTGACAGAGAGATTGTTTTACCGTCGAATGCTGAGAGTACCATGGACAGAACATTTAAGGAAAATACGACTATAAGGATGATGATAATTACAATCAGAAAGCGGTGGCTGACATTTCTGGGACACGTAAAGAGGAAAGAAGGCCAGGAGAATTTAACACTCACAGGACATAGTGAAGGCAAGAAAAGTATAGCGAAACAGCAAGTAACTTATTTCACAAGTTTACGTGAATGAATGTACTGACAGACCATGAACAAAATACTGGAAGTTGTGGAGAGACATAATCGGCCACACCGTGAAAGGACTTGGCGTATAAAAGAACATTTTATTCTTCCGTCATTCTTTCTCTCTTTCCAATATTTTTGGTTGCTTTTCGCCGTAGTATCGTCTTCGTCTTTTGTCTTCGTTGACTGGCTCACTGGCAACTGAGGTCAGTGTTCGAACCCAGGTTGATCTGTTGATTTTATTTAGCGGTATATGAACCTATATTTAATGCCGAAATCTAGATATTTTGTACGCAATTTTATGGCGTCAAATAAATATATTTTGAATACAACTGTAGAATATGTATTGTTGATTTGATTTGGCTTATTTTGTTTTACGCAACCTCAGTGGGTTATTTAATGCCGACAATATTTTTAGGATAGATTCGTAGGAACAGAATATGTATCATTTGTAATAAATCAGTTTTTAAATCAGTTTCCATTGACATGTTTTTGGAAAGAGAGTTTTTGTCAAGTCAAATGTATTACTGGTATACTGATTTACTATAAAAATCGATTTTTATACTTTCATGGTGTTTTGACGCCAATGTGAGGGTTAGCCATTTAAGCATAGCTGGGACCCTAACAGGTGCTACCACCCCGGGCCAGGGTAGATCTAGGAATAACAACACTTAAGAGGTGGTTCCACGCTGTTCAAAACCTCCAATTTGCCGATCAGAGACCCTGCTGCCAGATGTAGTTTATCGTCATACCCAGGACAATGTATGGATTATTCAATACATTATGGATTATTTAATGCCGAAATCTCTCTCTCTCTCTCTCTTTTCGCTCTCTTTCTCTCTCCATATATATATATATATATATATATATATATATATATATATATATATATATATATATATATATTAATTTAAATAGAAAACAGACAACCTTAAGGTTGCATTAGTTATAATTTATTTCCCCAGGTGCATGATTTTTACCTGGTTCATGAGATCACAGTTCCAAGAGGGGAAAAATGTTTTAAATTTACATATAGATTTTACTCACTTTTTACCCTTTTGAGGGGGGGGTAGATGTAAGTTGATGTAATTTGATATAGAGAGAGGGGGAGGAGGTGTATGACAGACACGATCGAAATTAGAGAGGGTATCCTCGAATGCGAGTGACCACCTATTATATATATATATATATATATATATATATATATATATATATATATAATTTGCTGGCCACTTGCATTCGAGGATACCTGTCTACTAGGTCGGCTAGCCAATCCCTATTTCAGACGTTCGCTCAGGCACATTTTGTGTGTGCTCAGCACTCACAGAGACCACCTGTGGTTTATACTGCAGCTATGCTGAGCTGACTTTAGTTACAATTTCTGGGAGAATATACTCAGATCATTTGTAAACAGCTATACCGATGAAACGACTATATGCGGGCGCACCGGTAAAATTCTCGGAGGTCAGAGGTTGGGGACTAATCTCACTTCCGATCTCGTAGAAGTAGTTCTTAATCCCGTGGGTTAAAAACTGGCTGGTTACATTCAATGCTTCGAAGACTAAGCTAGTTACATTCCATCATCGCCGATCAGACCCCGAAATACCATCAATCAGGATGAACGGAGATCCTCTCGTGGAAGCACCGGGCCTTGAAAGACTGTTGGGCCTCAAAATCACACCCGACCTCAAGTGATCCATTGTTAAAGATACAGGTAAAATGGTCGGATCTCTCTACCGCTCCAGTAAGTGCCTGACTCCTCGTACTATCCTCACCTTTACAAAAGTCAAATCAGGCCACAAATAGGGTAGTGTTGCTATATTTGGGCAGGATCTGCTCGTACCTCACTCCAGCCTTGACAGTCTTCAAAAGCGTCTCCGAGCCCTTGTGGGTGACGAATTATTTTCCACCATCTCTCAATCCCTTAGGCGGGATGTGGCAAACTTTTCGCTGCTCTACCGTTACTTACACGAAAAGTGCTCGAACGAACTACATTCCCTGGTCCTGCCGAGGCAAACCTCCTCAATAAGAACACGCCATGCCACTTACATAGTATCAAATCATCCACATTCCCTCCGTATTCCGCCGGTGAGCAGTATGTTCCTCTCGAACAGCTTCTTCCCACGAACAACTGCCCCGTGGAACCGACTCCCAACTGGGTGTTTCCCCGATCACTACAATTTTAAACTGTTCAAGTTAACCGTTATCTTCCACTTCTACATAACCTCCACACGTAACCCTCTACCTCGAGTGACTCCCAGGCCTTGTAATTAGAAATCCCTATTGCAGATGCTCGCTCAGGCACATTGTGTGTGCGATCAACACCCACAATGTGGTTTATACTGCAACTATTCTGAGCAGACCTTAGTTACAGATTCTGGGAGAATATACTCAGATCATTTGTAAACATCTATGCCTATGATATGTCTACATCCGGGCGCAACACTTGTAGTTCTCAATATGTCATGTCCTTTTGTTACTTCTCCCAAACCCTGTTCTCACTTTTATTTTTTTTACAGCGTCCTCTTTTTCTCCCCCCCCCCGCAGAAAGAGTGATGAAGAGTTCACCGTAAAAAATAAAAGTCAGAAGGCTTCGACAAGCACCTGATGAAGTCCGAAGGGTAACGGCCGAAATATTGTGATAATAACAACAATGATGAAGATTGTAGTGTAAAAGGCAATAATTTGAAATCCTCCATCAGTTAATGAAAAAATAGTACATTAATAATTTCTGTGTATGCCACAATCTGTTAAAGATTACCAAATCTGGCTTATATATTTTTTTTTTTATATTTTTCGATGTTTTCTAAGCATAGCCTAGATGTGGCAAAACCGAAAGTATGGTGCACCCAGTGAGGATCGAACTCACTACTCAGTCGTAATTGTTCTAATGAGACAAGCTTGCTAACCATTACACAACGCTGAGGTGCCCATATAGTTATTTTCTAAGCATAGACTAGATGTGGTACAAGGCCGGAAGTATGGTGCACCCAGTGAGGATCGACTCACTACTCAGTCGTAATTGTTCTAGCGAGACAAGCTTGCTAACCATTACACCACGCTGAGGTGCCCATATAGTTATTTTCTAAGCATAGACTAGATGTGGCACAAGGCCGGAAGTATGGGGCACCCAGTGAGGATCAAACTCATTACTCAGTCGTAATTGTTTTAGCGAGACAAGCTTGCTAATCATTACGCCGCCTCGAGATGGTATATAAAGGTACGGGTACCTTTGTGTTTGGTCACGGGAGCAATTTTTGATGGGCGCTATTTAAACCGTTATAGCTGTTTCATAGACTACGCGAACGTATTTTATAAGGTAAGACATAAAGAGCTACTTGAACTGCTAGGAATAATCGATTTATTTAGGAAATACATTCGAATAATTCAGAATATTTACAGGGAACAAACCACCTATACACGAACAGGAAATTATTTAAGTACACTAAAATAGAAATGGGTGTAAGACAAGGATGGTTCTTATAACTGGATTTATTTAATCTGTACAGCGAGGTAATCTTAAGAGAACTAGACGTCCTACTGGGATTTATTATTGGTTGGCACAATCTCAACAACTTAGATTATTCAAAAGACACAGCGTTGATGGCAGACAAAAATGATAACTAATAGACAATATAGTAAAATAAAACGGGAAGAAAGGACTGCCAGATGTAGGAAGAAATAATGTATGGTCTTTAAGAAAATGACAAAATCCCTCTACAGAAGGTAGCGACAGAGAGCGTGAAGAATGGACTAAGCATAAACTACAAGAAAACAGAATGTATGGTCATCAGCAAAAAGATGAGTCCGAAATACG